TCACCCTCAAAATTTTACAGTTTTAAATGTGTGCACACCAAAAGCAAATGATGTGTGCTCCCCCCGTAAAAAAAAAAAAAAATGAAGAACACCCGGTCCTTTTTTTTTTTATATGGAGGGTGCACACCCAGGTGTTGGATCCAGGTATGCACCAATCGTGGTCCTTTTACAAATCTATACTTCTTATAAAGTCACTTAACACATATTCTTTTATCTAAGAATATTTAGAAAATAGATTGAGTAGAAGAAAAAGGAAAAAAGAATGTGGAGGAACATCACCAAGTTGAGTAAAATGACAGGTCTTATTTATAAGATTCATAGTCATATAACTTTAATTTGCAAGTTAATAATAGGAATAAATTTGACAATTATTATAAAATAATATATCCTTAAATAAGACAATTAACTTATAACATTTAATCTAATCGAGTTTTTAATAAAATAATAAATTTAATTTATAAAATATATTATTTTATTTTTTATTATAATATTTAAGTTCTAACAATAAATATACTCTTAATCTATACCTTAAACATATAAGTTAGATAAATCCATAAAAATTATACAAATTAATAAGTTGTCATTGCTTAGGGCGCGACTGTGTTGGGCTGTGCAGTGCATCAAAGGGGTGGAGAGCGGACTGAGGTGTGATTAAGCGCAGGAGTGTTTTAGCTGTGCAAATTGGGAGGGGGTGTGGCTTGGTAAGGTGATGAGGTGCGATAAATGTTGGGTGTGAAACGCAAGCGGGGAGTGGTTAGCTGGGATCAAACGAATTGTTGGTTAGCTGTTTAAGGCTCCGTTTGGTATAGCGATTAGCGATTTTACTTAAACCGCTAAATATAGGTGTTTAATAAATTTATATATTTTGAAACCGCTGCAAATATAGTATTTGGTAAAATTTTTATTTAGCGGTTTAAGACTAACAGATAGCGGTTATAGTCCAAACCGCTAGCGGATTGAAAAAGTTAGTTTATGTAGTTTTTTGTATCAAACCGCTAGCGAATTAAAATTTTTTAATTTTATTAATAAATTCATTCATTTTAATTTTTTAATTTGTGGTCACATTTTTTAATTAATAATTATCTAATAAATTTCA